CAATTGTGTGCTGAGGTTAGGCGTGATATATAAAAAGTGCCCACGACTACTGGCATTGCTTCACAATTTGACATTTATGGACATTTCCTAGTTTAGATGGAGCTTAGTTCAGAGTTTTTGTAACTTAAAAAGCAAACCGGACTCCCATGGCATCCTATACAAAATTAACAAACAACTGGGTTGGAGAGTGTGGAGCTAATATATACAGTACGCTCTTGTATAAGAATACGACTGTACTGTGAAATTTTGTACTACGAAGGCATTCTCACATATGGCCTCGTATTCCTATAACAAGTGCCGCAGAGCGACGCCGCTCACCTGACGGCAGGTGTTCTGATGCTAAACTCGGGGGCAAACGAATCAGGAGCACCCTCCCATCGCCGCGTTCGCTCTCCCTCGTTGTCTCTCATTCTTTCTCTTTCGCTCTCTCGCTCTTACTCTCTCTTCCCTTCGCGCTCTCTCTCTCTCTCGCTCGATCACACTCTCGCTCTCTCTCTCGCTCGATCACACTCTCTTTCTCTCTCTCTCTCACTCACTCTCTCTCTCACTCTCTCTCTCTCTCTCTCTCTCTCTCTCTCTCTCTCGTTCTCGTCTCCCTCTCTCGTTCTCTCTCTCTCCGTCTCTCCTCTCGTCTCTCTTCTCTCTCTACTCTCTCTCTCATTTCTCATCTCTTCTCGAGTGAGGTTAGGCGCTGGCCGGACGAGCTGTACGACTGGATTGTCCTATACCGATGTCTGATTGTCTATCAGAGGCCGATTGTCCTGATGGTCTTCTAACCCTGAGGCAAGAACGCGTTTCGTGGAGCTAGCAAGGCGGTAAAGTTTTATATATATTCACATTAAATGTTTATACTATTATTGTTAATTCGGGTGGCACTCTGTCCGCGCAGCGACCAGTTTATACTTGTTACTCAGGTTTCCCAGCAGCGGCGGAGCGAATGGTATAAAATTATGAAAAATTGCTCGAAAAAGCTCCTGACAGATTACTTGTCGCTGCCGTGGAAATGGCAAGTACGGACAAATCGGATAGCCACTTATGTTCGAAACACTTGGGATGGTATCCAGGCACCTTCCCGAAAACATTTTCGTTGGGATCGTTATGAAAGTGCGACGAGATGGCGCGTACGTTTGAATGTTCTTAGGAATAAAGATGGAAGCCTGGACAGCTTCCATCGTACGTCGTATAGCAACAACTAATTTTTGCAAGACAGAATAGGTAAGCCCTTCATGCCATTTACCTACGGCAAGCCTACAGGCTGAAATTCGAAAGCTGGCCACCTGTAACTAATTAACGCGGCAAAACTACACCATACGTATCCCACCGACCGCACTAGCACTGCAGGCGCAGCTGGCCAGTGGGCGATAGAGTAGAGTTACATGTAAAGCACAACTGCCAGTACAGAATGCCATAGAAATTATACGATTTAGGAGCAGCAAACGCCTTCTCAAGCAAATAACGCTTTTGAAATTTCACTGTGACCTTGGTACCTCAATACAGTTCCAGGCCATGGTATAGGATTCTAGCTACAAACCGGCAGTCAAATCTTTCTAACATAACAAATCCATGTTTAACCGCTCCTTTGAGGGTCAACAGGGTTATCAGAACACTACTCTTCGCCGTCAGTGAAAGCACTTTTCATTGTCCTTTCAATAAAGCCATAAAACTGGATAGGTCCACCACTGAAACAAAACCCAAGTTTTTCAATCGCTCCGTCAACACCATGTCCTCGAGAAATGTCGTTAACAATCTGCCCTGTGCCACCATTTGACCTTTGACTTTCTGCGACTCCGGGTCAATTTCGGCAGCAGTGATGGCCTTTTCCTACCATGATGCCTATACACCGAAGCTCATCACGACGCTAGGTCGAGTCACGTAGTTAGAGTGTATGGTCGCGCACATTCTGGCATTTCTCCGCTATAGGCCGCTTAAGTTTAAGGAAGGAAATGTTCGCGCCTTCTTTACACCATTTGACCTTGACCCCCCAAATTTGATCATCCCGAGTCCTTTTCAACGATCCCCCCCCCACATCCGCGGAATTCGTGAGACGTGTACGTCGAGCTGGTTAAGATTCTTGTGCCCAACTGTTGACGCACGCACGGACGGACCGGACGGACGGACGATCATGCGATTCTACAAGCTGCATCTGACTATGTCAGATGAGCTAAAAAGGGGTATTTTCTATTACTATAGTCAGGAGTGCATAAAAACAAAATTACTTGTATTCACGCCAGCTACGGTGATGCTAATGCTATACCCTGTTTTGCTATAATTTAATTACGTTCATGTAACTAAGGTGGTTTTGCTGGAACTAGTTACGAGCTTATGAAATCATAATGTATACTTTTTTATAAGCGTCAGAGGATTTTCAGTATTGAAATAAGTACAGGTTTGAATGTTTATTTTAATGTATTTTCCTTGAGATCTCTGTAATTACCACATATCACTGCTACAAAACGAAACTTGTATCGGGGAACTATGAAAACTCATGAACGTGCTGTTCGACTTTGGGTTGTTGTCTTGTATGTGTACATGGAAAGTACTATAAATAAATTAAAAGCCAGCGACTAAGCTGTGAAAGTCTTTTGATTAATTTAGCAGTGTTTTTTGTGAGTTTTTTACTCCTGCTTACTTCTCACCAGCTAGAAATTGTCCCACGAACAGTCTCTTTTTATACATAAAACAAATCTACTTGATGAGCAGCTAGTATAAGCTTAGCACTGGCAGTCCTGCAACTACTGCACTTTTATTAACCAAGTGAAAGTCACTGAAACGAATTAAAATTTATCACCTCGGGTGCGTGCCACATGGATTGATTATATTCCTGGATAGTCAGGGGCGTAGCGTAGCCAGCCTTTCCAAGAGGGGGATTCCAAACCTACTATATATATATAATACTATTAATAAAACTTAGTTAAAATTTTCGTTTCATGCTTTTATATACATACTGTATCAGATATGTGCTATTTTGATACAAACCAGGGGGGATTCCAGAATGCCTGGAATCACCCCTGGCTACGCCCCTGGTCTGGTTCTCACTTCTAACGAAGACTCACTCACTCGAGTCGATTCCCACTGTAACGGTGACAGGCCATGCTGAGTGACATACTTGCTATACAATTGATATAGAATGCTTTTAGGTCAGGTGCAAGACAGGGACTATAATTGCAGTGTGCGCACTCTAGGACCGCCCACATTTTACTGTGCCGTAGATCTGTACGCTCACAAACATGGCATTCGTGCATATAAGAGGATCAAGAAGAGGTCGGTAGCAGCCTAGCAGTGGAGCTACATTGTGCCAGTCAAACAAACAGCCCTTTCACTGTCCGTAGCATACATCTTTGGCGTATAAGCAGAACAGGTACACATGTTGAAAGAGAGATGCGTGAATGAATTTAGCAGGTATAAGTTATAACAAACTGTACGAAACCTGTTAAGAAACTGACGTTCGATTTATTGTGATCCGGTCTATATACGGTTAGGAATGCACTATAGGAATTAAACGAGGTGAACTTGGCTTATTTTTAGGGACGTAAAATTTAATAAAAATGCCAGAAGCTAGGTTAGAAGAGTAAGAAGAGTAGGTTTCAAACTGTCAATACGATTCCTGCACAAGATCAAAATGTTAACTGTTTGCATGGTAACACATGCAATTCCGTATTCTGTTTAGCAGGTCAGGTCTGGTTATGTATTAGTCCTGGAGACTAAATGATACATGTATGTGTATCATCACACCGTCATCACAGTGTATTAATTAGCCTACATATATGTATGTGACTTCGTTTCAACCATACCAGTGATATCGTGTAAGCATTGGCCAAATTTAGCAGTGACACTGTCGGTCTAGGGATTTACACACGTGTATTAATTAATTAATTCAGTTTATCACATGCATTACAAGCATTTACATGCTACCTCTTGGCCTTTTGCACGGATTACACATAGTACCGTATTATACCAATTTCACACGTTTATTACATTCAACTAAGTGTTTACTATCTTCAGTTGTTATTGTGGTATTTATATAACTATACAGGTCTTTACTTAGTATAACCTGCTGTTACTGTACCGAATTGTAGCTCGGTCAGGCTAGCGTGTTAACAGGGCACCAATCCATTAGGCTAGCCCAAGCACCTTAGAACCAATTTTAAAATGGTATACCGGTACTATCGCTGTCAGGGTCTATGTCTCCCTGGGTACTGCCGGAACGTACCCTGGTACTCTCTTGGAACTATGTATCTAATATGCCGGACCGTGACCGTACCTCGCCTACGCCTACGCCTACTCCCAAACCCTAACCATATCAGATAGTTACCAGGGTACGTTCCGGTATACCGGACAGCACCCAGGGTACGTTCCGGCAGTACCCCGGGAGTGTGTTTATAAAACCCTGACCCGGACCCGGAAAACCTGCATAAAACCTGGACCCTAACCCAGACCCTAACCCACTCTACTCCAGTCCGGTTATATATGCAGGTTTTCCGGGTCCGGGTTTTATTCACACCCGTACCCAGGGAGACATAGACCCTATGGCTCAGGAATAGAGAAGATGTCCAGTCCTATCTTATCAACTAACATCATCCTATCCAATCACCGTACTGGACATCATCTCTATCCTTTTTCAGGGATAGATAAGATGTCCAGTCCTATCTTATCAACTAACATCATCCTATCCAATCACCGTACTGGACATCATCTCTATCCTTGAACTATCAGCTATACTATCACTATCAGTACATTATTGAAAGACGATTCCAGAGAATGATATGTTATACTATCATGTCTATGCTTTAGCTCTAGTACAGTAGTATGCGGCAACTGTACGCGGGCTATAGTACTAGAGCTACTCTATGCTATATGATATCATATGCTATGCTACGCTATTTTATTCTATTTATTCTACTCTACGGCTGCACGCCGACGTGTACAAGAATGACATTGTATCAAGAGCACATAATAGAGAACCGAAAATCCGAAAAGCCATACAGCAATACAGTGCCTACCTTCGTCCAAGAGTCGTTCAAGGTGTATGAAAACAGCTGGAAACGCAGCTATCTGCTTCCTGTCTTTCAAGAGCTGAGCCAAATAATCTGCACTATTGACATGGTGAGCAGCCATGGCGACATTCGGACTCGAACTTCCACTCATTCTGGTGGAGATTCCTACTTGTACATGAGCAATTCAAAATAGTTTTAGCCTATATATTACACGGCAACGTGCGACTACACCTGCCACTTGGGACGCGTGTATATTCAGATGCTTCTACTTGCACGCCCAGTATCACACGCAACACTGACTTGCGCGCCGTTCAGCCACGCCGTAATCCTGCGAGAGCAACAAGTGGGCGAAACCATTACGAAATTAGGGGGTGGTTAGAATGTGTCACTGCGGCGGCTTTGATGATTGGGTGGCGTAGTGTGGCGTATAAAGACGTCTATAAAGGTTCTTACATCATAAATGTAATTTTTCTGAAGCTTTTAACCAACGATTATACCAGTTATTATAGCCTATGAGACATGCAAAGTAATATAAGGCGATTGTATTCCTATAACTATTGTGTCTGTTGTCTGTGAATTATCGTGCATTTGTAGTGCTCTCTATATATCTTGATCATAGGGGCCTACATATCAGGAGTGAATAATAATATTCACTCCTGATCATGTTATCAGGAGTTAATAATGACAAATTCTGTCATTATTAACTCCTGATGTTATGTAACCTCATCGTATGTACTGTGTGTATATAATTCACATTAACTATCAAATTTTATATATTCGTAAGTAAAAGTAATAAGTATTGTTAGTGTAGTAAGGTTTTAATATTATATATATATTTTTTATTATATAATAATTTTGCTAAAGATACCATGGATTCCATTAAAACATTCAAATCTTCTTATTGTATACATAATGTCTATCTTTGTCGAAAATTGTTGATAACTTAGTATGTTCCCGCGTATAACCATGTGTGTAACATAATTATACACGTGTCGATCTGCTCTACTCTCTATCAGTCATATTTACTTTTCGCGTCTATAGAAGTTAATTTTATATCTGGTGGGCGGCATTTATATTTCATTTTCCCCAGAATAGCATTTTAAGATATCGCGATTTCT